GTTAAGTTCTCCACCCGAGCAATAACCTCTAATGTTACAGCCCGCCGCCTGCTCTGGCTCAAACACTGGCAGGCGGATGTAAAAAACAAGGTTAAGTTGGCCACTGCCCCCATCAAGGGGGACAAACTATTTGGCACGGCCCTGGAGCCATTGCTAGCCGAAACCCGAAGCAAGAAAAAATTTCTTCCTCCTCTTTTTCGGAGGTCAGAGCCAAGAGCCCCTCAGCCATTTCGGAGAGGTTCCTCCCGACCTTTCTACCAGTCACCTTTCCCGCCCAGGTATCCGAGACCCCCCTCCTTCCGGCCATTCCAACCCCAGGATTGAGCTGATCCGGGCGACAGGAACAGGAGGGGCGGCAGCTACAGGCGTCCCTTCAGGGGTTCAGGAGGGAAGCCCTTCCGGCGCCCCAGATAGATCCCGTCCCTCCCTTCCCATTGGCGGACACCTCAAGCATTTCGCCGACCGATGGGACTCCTCCACCTCCGATGCCTGGGTCGGGGACACCATCAGATTCGGCCTCGCTCTTGAATTTCAGCGCGCCCCCCCTGACTTTTTTATGGCATCCCCCCCTCGAGGGATCCCACCAAACGCAGCTTGATGGATTCAGCTATCCATCATCTCCTCAACATACAGGCGATCCAACCCGTCCCACCATCTCAACGGGGGCAAGGCTTTTACTCCCACCTTTTCGTTGTTACCAAATCCTCAGGTGGATGGAGGGATATTCTAGACCTGAAACGCCTTAACCGTTACCTGATCCAGCGCAGGTTTAAGATGCACACTTTACAGTCCATTCTACTGGGTATCAGGCAGGGGGACTGGCTATCTTCTATAGACTTTTCAGAAGCGTATCTTCACATCCCAATCCGGCCCTCCCATTCCAAATTCCTCAGGTTTTGTTACAACCACCGCCACTTCCAATATGTGGCCCTTCCCTTTGGGTTGGCTTCTGCCCCAAGAACCTTCACTAAGGTCCTCACGGCTCTAGCGGCCCACCTCAGGAACCTCCCAGTTCGTCTCCACTGCTACCTGGATGACATCCTCATCCTGTCTCACTCCAGACTCCAAGCAGAGAAGGACATCAGAGCTACTCTCTCTGCCCTCCAAGACCATGGGTTCCTAGTAAACTGGCAAAAGAGCCAATTGTTACCATCTACCCGGATCACCCATTTGGGGTCCGTCATTGACTCAGTTCAAGGAAAGGTCTTCCTTTCCTCGGAAAGATTCCTTAGCATCCAGGAAACCGTCAAACATATCAGACGATCAAGAAAGGTAACACTCTTAGAATTGTCTAAATTACTAGGTAAAATGGTCTCATGCATTTCCATTGTTCCCTGGGCCCGTTTACACACCAGATCCCTACAGTGGTTCCTGCTCCCGTTCCAAAGGTCCGGCAGAAGCAATTCAAAGGCCACAGTCAAGGTGCCTTCAAGGGTCCTCACGTCTCTCCTCTGGTGTACCAGTCCCGCCATCAACAAGGGCCATTGCTTCAAGGAGCCCCAATGCCTCACTCTCACCACAGACGCCAGCCTGTCCGGATGGGGCGCTCACATCCACTCGCTCTTGACACAGGGCAGATGGTCGCAGGCAGAACGGGCATGCAGTATAAACTGGTTGGAACTCCACGCCATCCACCTGGCCCTGCGCAACTTCCTCCCTCAGGTACGCGGGCGGCATGTCCTTATACTCACGGACAACGTCACCGCCAAGGCTCACGTCAACCGGCAAGGGGGTACCCAGTCCATACGCTTGATGAGAGAGGCCGAGTGCCTCTGCCGTTGGGCAGAGCGCAATCTCCTCTCCCTCAAAGCCGAACACATCTCAGGGGATTCAAACACCCAAGCAGACTGGCTGAGCAGGACCACGGTGGACCAGTCCGAGTGGCGCATCCACCCGTCACTGTTCAAGGAGGCGACCATGATGTTCGGTCTCCCGTCAGTAGACCTCTTCGCATCCCCCCTCAACACACAACTCCCAAGGTTTTTCTCGAGGTACCCCTCCCATGGGACCGAGAATTACAACGCCCTCCATTGCCCCTGGCCCACAGGGCTTCTATATGCATTCCCTCCATTAGCCCTAGTTCCCAGAGTCATCCAGAAGCTCATTTACGAGAAAGCAGAACTGATTCTAGTGGCCCCCTACTGGCCCAGACGCCCATGGTTTGCAGACCTCCGCAACCTATCGGTGGCCCCTCCCTGGAAAATCCCCCCGAACAGGATCTCCCTTTCTCAGGGCCCCCTCCAGCACCCGGATCCTCAGTGGCTCCAGTTAGCCGTTTGGAGGTTGAGCGGGAACGTCTAAGAAAGGAGAAGCTTTCTGACCAGGTTATTGATACCATTTTAGCCGCCAGACAGCCCTCAACAACCCGAATATACAATGCCACTTGGAATAGTTTCTCCAAGTGGTGCCATAATTTCCAGGTCAACCCGCTTTCACCCTCCATCGCTCAAGTTTTGGAATTCCTCCAAGAAGGTCTGAGGAAAGGACTTTCCCCGAACACCTTGAGGCGTCAGGTCGCAGCCCTCGCAACCGTCATCGCTTGTGACAATCTGGGTTCCCTTTCCCTCCACCCTCGCATTAGGGCATTCCTTAGAGGAGCCACTAACTTGTGTCCCCCAACCGTTCACCGATATCCTACCTGGGACCTCAATAAGGTCCTTGTGTCCCTTACTAAACACCCCTTTGAGCCTCTCAGGGAATCCACCCTCCAGTTTTTAACATTCAAAGTCGTGTTCCTGGTGGCCATTACTTTGGCTCGCCGAATCTTGGAGATAGCAGCCTTGTCGGTGAGAAAGGACCTTTGCATCTTCCATGCCGACCGGGTGGTCCTCCGGCCGGACCCTACCTTCTTGCCCAAGGTCAACTCAGCCTTCCACAGGGCACAGGAACTCACGCTCCCAAACTTCTGCCCCAATCCCTCGCGGGAGAGGGAGAAGCTTTGGCACACCCTGGACGTGAGATGTGCCCTTCGCATTTACATTAAGCGCACCCAGCGCTTTAGGAGGTCTGAATCCCTATTCCTTTCTTTTCAACCCAAGACATTGGGCCACAAAGTGTCCCCTTCAACCATCGGCCGCTGGATCAGAGCTACTATTTCCAAAGCTTATTTGTCTCAGGCTCTGCCGGTACCCAGCGGAATAACAGCACACTCCACCAGAAGTGCAGCTACCTCGACAGCTTGGGCCACCCAAGCTCCAATTACTGATATTTGTCGGGCGGCCACCTGGGCCTCCCCGTCTCCCTTCATTAGGCATTATAAGATCGACATATTTGCCTCGGCGGAGGCTTCGTTTGGCAGACGAGTCCTCCAGCGAGTCCTCAAGGACCCGCAGAGACTCCTGAACCAGACGGAGTCCCTCCCGTAGGACAGCCAAGCTTTGGTATGTCCCACTCTCTGGATGATCCGAGCGGCTCTAAGGAGAATGGGCGTTGGTCCTTACCTGACACGCCATTTCTCTTCGAGCCGCGAGGATCATCCAGCCCCACCCTTATTATTTCACCGTCTGGTGGGGTCTTGTTTCGGCCAATGAACCTTTAAGTATAGTAAGATGAGAGCACGACCTTCTCTTCACTCTCGACTTCGCATAAACTGGGGAACGCAAGGGAGCCACATGATGGAGGGCGGAGCGTTCCTCAGTAATTAAGCTCAGCCTTCAACGACGCAGACTGAAGCACCTCCCACTTTCTGGATGATCCTCGCGGCTCGAAGAGAAATGGCGTGTCAGGTAAGGACCAACGCCCACTCTCACCAGGGGTGGGCTTCTACCTGCCGGAGAACCGGCAAATCGCACCACTGGCTGGCCCCGCCCCGCCCACTCACTCTTTACCTGGCATGCGCACCATCAAACTTGCCTGCTAAGTTGCTATTTTCCTTCCCTCCCCCTCAACCATCAGCTGTTCTGTGTGCCGGGAGATTTGGATTAGCTGGAAAGCAGGAAAACGTTGAATTTCTTGCTTTCTAGCTAATCTAAAAGCAGAGCTGAACCTTCCTTAGGACTGAAGCTTCTATTTTTCAGTGCAGACTCAGGTAGCCAATTGCAGAAAGATAGATCTCTGAATGAATCTGTGATTCTGTGAGCAACTCAATCTGCCTTCCTGCTTTGCCTGCTTTTGGGTAAAAGTTGCTCTTTTTTAATAAAAAATTCAATATTTACATAAATATTTATAATATTTACATATAAGCCATGCCCAGCCAGTCACATGACCACCAAGCCACACCCACAAATTAGGCCACACCCACAGAATTGGTTGTTAAGAAATTTGAATCCCACCCCTGTCCCCAACCTCCAGACCGCAGCCCACTATTGGACTGTGGCCCATTTGGAACCAGGCCACACAAACAGTTGGGCGAGCGGCCTGCCGGTTCCCCTCTTCTCCCCCACCCCGGCGGACCACCAAACTGTAAAGACTGGGGACTGCTGGTATAGATGTATCACTATGGTGAGCTAAAACCTTGTTTGGATAATTCTTTGCTCAGCTTAAATTGGCAGGAGACAGAAGCTTGCATGCCAGATAATTTAATCCTTTCTTTCTTTCTATTTACACATTCATTCTCTCTCTCTCTCTCTCTCTCTCTCTCTCTCTCTCTCTCTCTCTCTCTCTCTCTCTCTCTCTCTCTCTCTCTCTTTCACATACAGTTGAATTTCTACAAAAGATAAAATGCAAAAAACCAGATAAAAATAAAAGGAAAGAAGTTTATCAATGTCTAACATAGAGCATTAGCTATTTGGAAGTAACATACGCTGCCCACAGTCTTCAGGAATGGGCAGCACTCAAATAAAGTTTATAAATAAATTAAATAGCATTATTCAAAAACATAATAGCAATAGCACCTAGACTTATATACCGCTTTACAGTGTTTCACAGCCCTCTCTAAGCTGTTTACAGAGTCAGCAAAAGTAGCCTGCAAGTACTGCGCTCTAACCACTGTGCCACTGGGGCTCTTAATGTTAAGATAGAAAACTCATGCTTATTCATCTCAGCACATAGCATCGACTGTATGCTTTTTTGTCATTTGCATTTTTATTACTTCACATTCTTTACTCCATTTTTTTTCCTTGTCTTTTATAGGAAGCTGAATTTCATTCATTAAAAGAAGCTCTTTCTTTTGTATCATTAATCGATGGATATTATAGATTAACAGCGGATGCCCATCATTACCTTTGTAAAGAAGTGGCACCTCCTTCAATTCTTGAAAATATCCAGAGCAATTGCCATGGGCCAATTTCGTAAGGAATACTTTGTTCTAACATTTATCTTGGGAATGGATAAGCTTTTGAACTAGAGGCACATCAGATACTAGGCTAGGCATTTGGGAACACAGTAATCATTGTGTACATTACCCCTGCTCATTTGTACACATAATTTGCCTCCATGGTTATAGATGCAACTTGGACCATATTGAGGAAGAAGCTTCTTTCTACCTAAGGAATCAGGTTAAAATAGCTTTATTCTTGCTCTTGTTGTTACTGCTAGCAGTAGAGGAAGATCAAAACCAAAAGACAAAATGAGGAAGATCAAAAGCAAAAGTTTCCTGCAGCTGCCAATCAGCAAATGTCTGGGACCAGTGTCATGGCAGGTGGGAGTTGGATTGCCAGGGGTCCTGAGTGCTGCAGATAAGGAGGAAGGGAGATAGATGTTCATTCGTATCAAAACAACTCCTGTGTGTACCTGTGAAAAAAGAATTAGTAACAGTTCTTTTGGATCCACTTTAACTTGTTTGAATTTTATACGTATCCATCCAGACTCTCAGATTTTATCTATGCACACACACTAGTTATTTGAGTGATTGTTGTTGAATATGGAAAATTGCTAACAAAAAAAAATTACTCTTGGTAAAGACTACTTCTTCCTGTTCCTTTCATGAAGTCGAGGAGAAAATATGAGTAGAAATGTATGTGATTCTATATAATATGTCCCAGTTCTGAACAGTTTAATATATTAGCATGTCCCAGTTAAGGTACTGATGAATTCTAAAATCAAGTGAGTATTGCATAGGAAAGAGTCACAATGTCACTCAAAGAAAGTCAGATAGTAGTCTCCATCTTTAGGAAATCACTTTATCTTGATGGAAAACAGAATTTCTTTTTTGTTTACCTGGAGCAAGAATAATTCTCTGAATTGTGTCCTTTGTAGCCTGCCAAATTTCTTCAAATCACTTCTGAAGTTCCATTTTATTTTAAAATATGTTTAATTATTTTACTCTCTGTTGCATCTATCCCATTTTGTCCTATTCAATTAAAGATAGCCCCCAAAGTACAACCATTCATTTAGCAATGGTTCAAGATTATGTCATGGTCCCCATAATAATTGCCATTGTAGCACCCCCCACAATACTGTGATCAGAAAACCGTAAGGATACTTATTTCCCTCCAACTGCCTACTCTACCTCCCAGCCCTGCCCGCTTTTGGCCAGCTTGTTGGTCTTGCCACCCTGTACTTGTGGGCCCTGTCACCTTTACCATACTGCGCTGCATTCATGCTGTGCAGCTCACATCTAACCTTCACCACCTCCTCTTCCTGCAACTGCTTCCGAGACACGCCTGGTCTGGCCTTTTATGTGAGGCAGCTACTGGCTATGCTAAACTATGTTCCCAAGGCTCCACCTGCCCTTTTTCCAAATCATTCATAACCTTCTTGAGATGTTTGGAGCTTCACATGGGTCAGGGAACGCAGCTGGATTGCTGTTCTTAAGCAATGAGTTAATGTGACATTACACTACAACCACATTGCTTAGTATTGGATATTCAGGTCCCAATTGCCATTGTAACCAGTTGTAAATTTTATTTGGTGGCATTCTGCTAGTGGAAGAGCAGGTCAAGGAAATGGGAAATGATTTTAGCCATTTTTTATTGACTAAAAGTAATGTGGAAAGAGTAGTCTTGGATCAATCAAGAGAAGAGGAATTATCATTTCACTGACACATTATTTTTGTAAAAAATCTGCTATATCCCGATATATTCTGTAATTCAGAAGTGTCAGCTCTTTTTAATACTTTGTTTTTCCTTCTTTTTTTTTTTAAACAGCATGGACTTTGCAATCAGTAAGCTGAAAAAGGCTGGCAATCAAACTGGCTATTATGTTCTCCGTTGCAGTCCAACAGAGTTTAATAAATACTTTCTTACCTTTGCTATGCAGGTTAGTATTAAGGATCTAGATTTCTAACTGCTTTGCTTATGCTTAAGACAAGATTTCAGTTCCTTTTATTTAGGGGGAAATCATGTTTTGTTTTCAGAATAACATCAGTACCTCTGTTTTGAGAATAACATATGTAGTTATTAAAATTGGCACCAGTTGGACCAATATTTTATTAATTTTCCCATTCACTGTCACTGTTAATTCAAGTGCCACAATTAATATTTAAATTTTCAGAGTTTGGTTATCATTTATATCCATTTGTGTGAATTTGCCAATAGAATAGCAGCTTAGAAAGAGATACAGGAAGAGATTCAAACTTATCAGGGGAACTTCTGAAATAGTTAATAAAGAGTATTAGCATCAGCAGTTCTTCCTTCAAAAGACACGGCACAATATTTATTATTCAGTAATAAGTTATCAAGAGTGATAAGTTTCTTCATTTGTTTAAAAAAAGTATATTATTTGTAAGTATCTGCAATTTAAAAGTTATAAACTTTGAAGAACTTGCTGCTGGTGTACTCATATATGTAGCCTCTTAAATTGCCAATTTTTGTGTCTATTGTTATTGTGATATTTCTAAGCAGAGTGCAATTAAAATGATTCAAGTTCAGAACTTACTTTATAAAAAATCAAAATGTTTGCTATACAAGTTTACTTTTTATATACTAAAGGAACTCTTAGCAGTATAGTTCAGTTCTTTTGTATTAAACAAAGCTGAAGTGTTGCGCTGTGGCAATCCTTTGTTCCAGCAAGCTTTAGTGTAGATTAAAACAAAATTAGTCTTGCATTAGATGGTATTTATAGAGCAGGTAAAATCAACCAAATATTAATGTCATGATAGCTGGATATTCAGAGTAAAATTAAAAAATAATTTTGTTCCCTCCACCAACATATTCCATTGTTTGTAATGGAGTTTGTGTGATGAGTGAAAGTTAGAAAGCTACAAAGGGACCAGTAATGAACCGGTAGAATGAGTCATGTCCTACCCAGCCGTTCCTTTGCCATAAAAACTGTTCTTTTCTATTCTTCCAATTTTTTTTAATTTCACTTGCCCACCCAATATGGCTACAAGATATATTCCTAGTCCTGATTGCCAAATTAGAATTATGCTTGACATTTGATTAAATTTACAAAGTTACAAATAAAAGCGTTGAATTGAAGTATCATTTTTAAACTTTCCTTAAATTTTGCAGCAAGACAGCATAATTGATTATAAACATTGCTTGATAACAAAAAATGAAAATGGAGAATATAATCTCACCGGAACTAGAAAAAGTTTTACCAACCTTGTGGATTTGTTGAATTGTTACCGTACAGAAACCGTCCGATCGGACAGTATGGTTTTCCAGTTTACCAGATGCTGCCCTCCAAAGCCAAAAGGCAAGCAATTTGAATTTTATTTGTTGAGGGTGATAATATTGTGTGGCTAACTGAACTAGAGAAATAACTGTCATTTGAGAAAAATACAAAGACCTACATTAAACAATAAAAGAGCAGAAATTTTTAACAACACTGCTCTCGTATAGGGGTGTGTGTGTATGCGTGTGTGTGTGTTAATATTCATAGCACACTGACAGACACTAGGATTAATAGATAAGATTAGATAGATGAGAGGAGCAGTTGCTGTCTTCCAATCCTTCAACTGCAGAGAACATTTTGCAAAAGGACGCTATTCAAAATACTGAAGCTCCATTTCGCAACAACCCCTCCCCACTGACCGATATAATTGGATATTTTGGAGTTTGGCAACAATTCCATTTTAAGTCCAGATTATTCCTGAAATAAAAGTTGTATGCTCCCATGTGTGATATTTATGTGTACACCTATTTATATATTTGTGATACATTCAGATTAGGATAAGGAGGAAAGTAGTAAAAGAAGAATGTCAGTTGCTAACCCTAAAATATAGGAAGTGTTTAAGTCGTTCCATCCTCTACTAGAGGATCCTAAAATCTGGATTCGGTGCACTGTTATACAAGCTTAGCTTTAGAGCTGCTGTGCTTTGGGCGCTTTGAAAATGCTTCTTGGATCAGAAGTAAAATGTCTTCAAAGAAAGTCCAGTTGCCTGTTGAAAAAAAGCACCTCTGTATTTTTATTCCATGGCTGCGTTTCCCCCCATTTTTGTTCACACAACAGTGAGGGGAAGTTAGGTCAATGAAGACCCCACAATTACCAAGGTTTATTAATCAGAATTTACATAGGAAGCTTCATGGCTGAGTGCAGAATATTATATGCAGTAATTATCGGCTTTTGCTTTGGTTATAAATGAAACAAAGTTTTTAGTTACATATGCAATGGTTTGTGTTTGCATGTTTTTTCACTTTTTATATGTAAACGAGCCATTTCCCATAGACCCTTCTTTACATTCTCTATCAGCTTATATAATAATTATCTGGTTACCTTTTATAATTACCTTTCATAAATTGGGCTAGAAGACAAGCGAGTAAAATATGGTTGTGTGAACTTACACACCATTGACTTCTTTTTGCAGATAAGTCCAACCTTCTTATCTTCAGGAGCAATGGAGATTCTGATATGCCAACATCACCTACTTTGCAGAGACATAATAATATCAATCAGATGGTTTTTCACAAAATTCGGAATGAAGATCTTATCTTTGTAAGATTAATACACTAGTATCCTTTTTTTATCAACACCTTAGAATTAAGTTCAATTAACTTAAATATCATTGGACTTTTTCTCAGTGATATGTGCTACTGGAAATAATTTCTACACTATTCCATTTATTATGATAAAAGCATATAAATATAAGATGTAAGGTTTCCCCTTCATTATTCATTGAAAATTGAATTTCATTTACTATGTAAGTACATTCATTAAGATAGGATGTGTTATCATTTCCTTCTTAAGATAGATTTTTGCTCTTATTAAGATAAAGATGAGTTCTTAAGCTGTTATTGTTACAGCCCTTCCCACCCTCAGTTTATAGTTCTTTTGTGTTAAACAATGAGGTTGTTTAATTTGGTGTCTAAAAATATCTCTGTTCCAAAGCAGAGTTCCCAATCTTTGTGGACTAGTTGGAGAGGGGAGAGGTGATGGTTCCAGAAGTGGGTGAGTGCACCCATGCACACATCCCCATTTGCGTGAGTGGCGAGAGAGCACACATGGTGCAACTCCATTTGCATGAGTAACAGGCACATGCGCCCACCACTCATGCAAATAGATTGCACATGAGCTCACCCACTGCTTGCGCAAGTGGGGACACCTGTGCACACACTTACCCATCACTTCCCCAACTGGGTTCCAAACAGCTCAAGGCCCAGTAGTCCCTTGCTCCAAAGGAACCTTCTTGTATTAGTAGTTTTGTTTTTGTTTTTACATGTTTTATTGTTTTTCATGTGGCCTGAAATGATTGACTAACCTTTATCTCCATTTTTGGCTTTTTTGTTTCTGTTTTTTGGGTAGAATGAAAGCCTTGGACAGGGCACCTTCACTAAAATTTTCAAAGGAGTAAGGAAAGAAGTGGGAGACTATGGTAAATTATATCAGACTGAAGTCTTGCTGAAAGTTCTAGATAAAACACACAGACACTACTCCGAGGTTTGTATATTAATTTTAAAAGTCATATTAATTAAAAGATGCTACTTTTTAAGTATTGGCTATGATAATGGTTTGAAATGATACACAGTGAAACAATAAAAACATTAAAAAGCATCACAACTGAAAGGAACAACCAAGATGCAAGTCAAATTTATTTGTTGATAGCCATTTCTTAGTTGAATAAACCTGATGAATTTTCCCTTATTGAAAAGTATGCAAAGTTACTCACCTTTTAGATATACAGTAGGATTTTGAATATCTAAGAGACAAAAACAGATCTGAGTCACAGCTTTTCTTCTTTCTTTTTCTCCCATGAATGATTTAAGTGAAATAATTTATACAAAATATACACTTCCATTTTCCTGAGTTACTGAAATTGCAGAATTTCAGCTTTTCAAAACTGAATTGGGGTTGGCTTAGCGATTGTACTAAAATATTACACCTACTCTAAATAAATATACTATGTTGATATTATGATTTCAGAAAAATAAAATTGTAGAGTTCTACTTCCCAATCTTTCTCATGGTAGTGCAGATTGATTCGTTGTTTATTGCTGGCTAGGAGTTCTGATAAATTCTGACTTATGAAGTTGATTATTCCATGAAAATTTTTAAGAGATACTGATACCAGGGCTCTGCAACCTTAAACATTCAAAGAGCCATTTGGACCCTTTTTCCACAGAAAAGAAAACACTGGGAGCCAATAATTTAACAACCAGTGTGACTGGGTAGGCGTGGCCCACGTGACTTCACTCACTTACTCCCACCCAGTTGCCTCCTACTCTGGAATATGGAGTGAGTCTCCACCCCCCACCATCACCCTTAACATTCTCAGGGCAGGCGAGGAGTGACGGGAAGGGGCTGGCCAGTAGTGGGATCAACCAATAGGGAGCCACAGCAGAGAGCAGAAAGAGCTGCATGTGGCTCCAGAGCCACAGGTTGCAGACTCCTGGTCTATACCAAATTAAGATGATTCTACACCATCAATAGTTAGAGGGTAAACTGTCTGTGTCAGGTTTTTCCACTTTTGAAAGCAAATGTGTTGAATTTGATATGATACAGCTAATAAAAATTCTATATGAAGTTTTGTCTCTGACTATAACAAAATTCTGTACCTTGGAATTCAAAAGCAATTTCCTAATGACTCATTTGTTAATTGTTCCCATCTTCGTTTTGTTAAATCTTCTATATATCAAATATTGCCATCTATTATGACCCAATATGAAGAGCATTCAGATGCTCATTACAAATTTATCTCTTGTCAGTGAATTGACACTGTTGTCAGTCCAGATAAAACCAGATAGGAAATACAACAAGATGAACTAATTCTATTTTAATTAACAGAATTTTGCAAGTCTGAAAGTACAAACTTCCCACTGCTACTTGAGCCATTAGGGTGGGCCCTTTCTTTCTCTGACTATTAAGCCCCTTGAAGTTTCCACCTCTCTTATCTGGTAGTTTCCTGGGTAGCATCTTTCCTTTCATTTCCCAAGCCCATTAACATACTCCATTACATCCATTATTAAAGTACTTGTTCATGATGGCAAATGGATTCTTAAACAAAAATTCTGAGACCAGACCTGCAGAATTAATTGTGCAACAAGTAGAAGTAGCAAAAGACAGGGAATGAAGTGGTGTGACAATATAACTGAATTAATTCCAACCAGTTCTTACTTTGACTCACTTTCTAATTAATATCTTTTTCTTGTAGTCTTTCTTTGAAGCAGCAAGCATGATGAGTCAACTTTCTTACAAACATTTAGTATTAAATTATGGAGTTTGTGTCTGTGGAGAAGAAAGTGAGTAAATCCAGTTAATGGTTTGTACTCTGATTAGAGGTTTTTTTTCCAGAGTTCTTTTCTATAGTAAGGATACTGTACAGTATTTGAATAATGAATAAGGACAAAATCATGAAATAATGAAGGTTTTACTCTAACCACATTTGGGTAAAACAATTATGCGTTTTCTTGAAAACAGAAAAAAATGCTGTTAAGTCCTTGGTGCTGTCTGAGCTTGATTGCTTTCTTGCAGATGTTTCATTACCAAAGTAGGCAACATCTCAGTGCTAGCACTGATGATGATATGTAATTTGATAATGAAACATCTGCAAGTAAACAACCAAGCTGAACTGCAAATGTTCTCTTCTATTGGTATGTAAGAATCCTGCTGGGTCAGACCAACCCTTCACTTACTTTAGTAAGAGAATCAAATAGAATCTTTCAAGACTATCACAAGTGTAAGTTGGTAACAGCCCTCCTCTATAGCAGCTGGGTTTCAAAGAATACAACCTGTGATCAGTAGTCATTGATAGCTTCTCCCTTTAGTTGCCCAGTCTCCTCTTAAAACTTTTTAAATTACCGGTCCTCATTATACTAAATAACAATGAATTCCAATATAATGGCTATTGTGTGTTTTGAAAGTGTGTATATGTGTGTGAAAGTTATTTTTGATTAAGTGCCGCCTTAATGCCTTTTTGCTTCATGCTGGCGTTGATTTTTGCTTCAATAAGAAATTGAACAGTCTAACATAATAACTTTGCATCATATCCACATGATAGCCCATTGTTAAAATCTCTTAATCATCTTCTTATCCACCAAAACAACTTTGAAAAGCAAGATTTTATGGCTTGTATGAAAATCACAGCAGACCAGGATATTCTGATTATTTTGTCCCTTATACTGAAATCTTGAAACAGACTGCTCTTGAGACTTCCCAGAAGATAATAAAACTGTGTGTCCCACCAACCAGATTTTTTAAGGGCAGAATGTCAGTTATGTGAAGAAACACCTGCCTTCAAGGGGAGAGGGTATCGGATACAAATTTCATTAAATCGTAGGAAGGGTAGAAAGAAGCACCAAAAATGGACCATAAGTGAACATTAAGAGGAAATTACAAATTCACGATGGCAGAACTCAAACACCTGTCATGGTTGTTTCTGCTGAGTATGGACTAAAGAGCCTTGTGCAGCCTGTATATTGGAGAACCTTGAGCTAATTCCAGCTTATTAAAACTATGCCAAGTCAAAATCTGGGAAAACCTGATGGGATCTTGTCAGTTAACACATCTGTTTATCATGTCTTGTGGCTAAATTGGTGTGAAGTTGTAATTCACCTTTGTTTATCTAGGATGCTTGATCAAATGCTTTTTTCATCTGCCGCTTTTTATTTGGTATTGTGGGGAAAATATTCTGCTAAGCTCTGTGAGTCAGCAAAAGGAAATTCACATCTCCCTGTAATGCGTAATAAATAGATAGAGATGAGGTCGTTTTGCTGAAATTCAGGTGGCTTAGCTGGCAAAGTACTAGAAAAGATTTGATTACCATCCTAAGCCAATGAAAAAGTAATTGGTGCTTACCTGAATTTAATCTTGCACGCATTTGGCATCAGCTTGTGTTGTTATTAATACTGTCCCCAACTTTTCAGAGAAAAGGATGGGAGTTTGAGGAATTAATGAAAGACTGTGCTTTATGTAATCCATAACATACAGTCATATTAAGTACAGGTAGTTCTCAACTTACAACCTTTCCTTTAGCAACTGTTCAAGATTACAACGGCATTGAAAAAAGTGTCTTATGGCTGGTCCTCACATTTATGACCATTGCAGCATCCCCACGTTCATGTGATCAAAATTTGGGTGCTTGGCAACTGACAAGCATTTATAATGAGGTCATGTGATGGTCATTTGTGATCTTCCCAGCCAGCTTCCAAGAAGCAAAATAAACAGGTAGACCTGTTCACTTAGCAACTGCCTGGTTTATTTAACAACTGCAGTGATTCGCTTAACAATGGTGCAAAAGACTTGTAAAATTGGGCATGACTCACTTAAGAACTGCCTTAGCAATGGAAATTCTTACCCCAATTGTGGTTTCAAGTGGAGGGTTACCTGATAAAGTTGTTTTGTCTGGCTACCTAGAAGAAGTTGTGTTCCATATTTTGGCATTCTTATGGAAAGAATATGAAAGCAGCTTTTATCTGTTCTGTTTCTGAGAATTAATTAGCATTAATTATTCTAGAAGTGAGAGCTTAAATTTAAGTAATTTACAGTGTATACTGGAGTACATAAGGAGACTAACCAGTGTGGTAATTAAGAGTTACTGTTTGAATTCCACTGTTTATATTTCTTACCAGATATTCTGGTTCAGGAGTATGTAAAATTTGGATCATTGGATACTTACTTGAAGAAAAATAAAACTTCTATAAATATCTTGTGGAAATTAGAAGTTGCAAAACAGTTGGCAATGGCAATGCATTTTTTGGTAAGTTTTTCATTTTTACTGGTATTGGTAAAAATTCTAAGTTTACTTAGGATATTTTAGGCTTTTGGTTATAATTATCCATTTTCACAAACTTCTCTTTGTTGGAATAGTATTTAGTTATTTGGAATTTGAGTTTGTACTTTTTTCATAACTTGGATATTGCTGATAAACAAATACAAGAAATGGCTTTTTCTAGGGTGAGAAATTGGAGTTATGCAGGCCTACCAGCTCTTGGATAATGGCTTTAATTTCTCTTTTGGAAACTATAGCATTAGTTTATTTTAGGGCAAATTGTATATTGGGTCAACTTCACCAAGCTATGAATTTTAGAATCATGCATTCTGTCCCCCTGTTTTCTAACCTTTGTACACCACTTAATGTTCCTACCATGTCCAGGTGAAGGATTTTCACGTCAGCACACTACAAAAATGCACTATATAAAGCTTGAATGGGAATCTTTCTTTTAGCCCAGAGGTCTCCAAGCTTGGCAACTTTAAGACTTGTGGACTTCAACTCCCAGAATTCTCCAGCCAGCTTTGCCCTGTTTTAGCCTATAGCAAGAAGGGCACAAATGAGTTTTGGAAATAAATCACAGCTTTTCAGATATAGTGCATATTAATCAGGCAGTGCAACCAGTTGTCTCCTAAATATCTTCCATGCTCCCTGCTAAATTAGATGATGCAGTTCCCATTTTGGCAAGGTTTAGGAACCACTTACAGGATGGCTTGTTCTTTGGCTTCTCTGTTGATACTATAATTATTGGAGAAAGGCTGTTCTAAAATCACCATGTTCCTCTAGCTCTCCAAATATGGCCAGTTGAGGAATTCTGGGAATTGAAGCGTACAAGTGTTGAAGTTCCCAGGTTTGGAGAGCCCTGCTATAGTGTTTGGGAGCTGTCTGGATTGAATCCAGAGGTTTGACACTCTCAGAATAGGACCTTTGTAGTTGCTGGGTTATTAATATATTAAAAGAGGATACATAAATTGAAGAAGTTAGAAAGACTTTTAAATCCCACCTATCTCAAAGTCCTAAATACTGTGTAGTGCCATATATGACCAGCAAGCCTAAACCAGTGGCATATCTCTGGATTAGACTTAGAGAAGAACTGTACACTATATTACAGTTTTTAAATCTCTTTATGCTTAATATTTTTAAATAGTATTTTGAAGTAAACACAGTCAGCTTGCAGACCATTACATCATATCTAGTAGAATAATCAAATCTTCCCCTTTATCTTTTTCAGGAGGATAAAAACCTCGTACACGGGAATGTATGCGCAAAAAATATCTTGCTTATCAGAGAGGAAGATAGGAAGTCTGGGAACCTTCCTTTTATCAAACTTAGTGATCCTGGTATCAGCATTACAGTTTTGCCAAAAGACAGTAAGTTTCTGATTCCGCAATCTGAGCACACTGTGAAAATGGCATGTGCATGGCTTTCTTTCACTGATTATTTTATTCCGGGGAATTCCTGTTTTCCTTTGTATTTCTAGGACAAACTTCCCACATTGTGGGACATATTTTAATCATCATACTGCTACATATTATGCTGTTTAAAATTGCTTGCATTTGTAAATATGTCTTTCTTGTGAGATGATATTGCATACCGCAATATGACGCTGAAAAAGTATTAAAATATCCTAGAATGTAAGCTCAAAGTATTTATTTGCAGTATATTGCAGTTGCTTTCTGCAGGGTCAAAATGCTCATAATCTGTTGGTACAAATCTGGCAGAATTACACAGCTGTTCTTGCTTTGTAACTAGTAGTGTCTAATACATGGGAGCAAGTATATTTTATAGCAAAGAAATCAGTTCATAAACTTAACATATATACAACAATCATGTCATTGTTAACTAACGGCATTTGCTTTTTAACAATGTTAATTATCTACTAAACCGATCTTTATTTTGTTTTATTATTATTATTTTCTTCCTTTCAGTCGTGTCTAATTCTCATAGATCACCTGGACAAGTCCCTGCAGTTTTATTGATAAAAGCTTTTCAGAAGTGGTTTGCCATTGTCTCCTTCCTAGGCCTGAGAGAAAGTAATTGGCTCAAACTCACCCAGACAGCTTCATGTCCAAGGCAGGACTAGAACTCACAACTAACTTTTATTAATTTCACTTCAAGAGCTTATCAAATTGGACAGCAATTAAAACATTCCAGGAATCTTTAGTCTAAAATTTTTATAATTCCCTCCCAGTAAAAGTTCACTCTTTTTTTTTTTCATGGTCAGTTCTTCTGGAGAGGATTCCATGGGTGCCCCCAGAATGCATCGAAAGTCCCAAGCAGTTGAGCCAGGCGGCGGACAAGTGGAGTTTTGGGACAACTCTGTGGGAAATCTGCAGCGGAGGAGACAAACCTCTCAATGCACTGGATTCTCAAAGGGTAAGACGCATTGAGCAATCTCTGTCCCTCTACAATTAAACTTGCTAGATGCTAATGCACACCAGTTGTTCTCACATTTGAGTGCAGTTTCTTCCTGGGGCTCCCTCTTACATTAAGGTCTAGAAAATATTTTTTGACATACTAACAGGTATGATCTCCATGCCTGCCTTTCTGGTCTATCAGACAGAACCTATAGCCAAAAAGGATTTTGTTGAAAAGGTGAGTTTCCTCACATTCCTCTTTGTCACATTATTTTGTTGAACTTACATATACTTCCCCATTTTCTGGAAGAGGGTTGGATTGCATTAAGTGGGGGAAGTATTAAGAATGTTTTGCTTTGTTTTAAGTAAGCCTCCTTGGGTTAAACTCTGTTCCTCGCAATTTTATTGTTTTCTTGGTAACAGTATGGAAGTGGTTTGCTTTCCATCTGACCTTTTCTTAAATTTCAGCCCAGCCTTCAGTCCATGGATTTCTTGTGGCTCTTTATTGAAGTACTAATTAAGTTGAACTTGTCTTAGCTTTTTGCTATCATTTAAGGTTTAAAATAATATTATTAAGAAAATTCAGTGTGACGTTAAATAATTTTAAGGTGATTTTCTGTTCAGAAGAAGAAGAAAGGATGTTCCTAGGTCTTGTCTAGAATTTCAAAAGGCTTAAGCAGTTCATTTATGATATCACTGATTCAGGGAAATCATCCCAACTCTGCCAATAAATGCTCTACAAAGCATCTTTTAATTTGTTAATTTATGATGACTCACCCATTATTCAGATTTGTTTATATTGATTTATTTGAAATGATTGTTCAAAAAAGGATTTGGGGAAAATGTATAACAGAACACTGGGAGTAAATACTTCTGTTTTACAATCTTGTTGGAAGAAGTTTAAATAGACATAATTTGTATGAATTAGCAACAACAAAATCCTACTCCCCTTTTAAATTGAACTTTGAGCGTAAGATCCGGGATACAACTTTTTGTGCTGTACTTCCTGCATGCTAAAAAAATGTAAACAATTGTCTCTCGCTGTAGAAAGCATGTTAAAATAAAAATATATTAATAATCCATATAATGTCTCAATGTCTAGAAGCTACAATTTTATGAAGACCGGCATCAGCTTCCTGCTCCCAATTGGACAGAACTGGCAAATCTGATAAACAATTGTATGGAATATGAAGCAGATTTCCGGCCCTCTTTCAGAGCAGTTATACGGGATCTGAACAGTTTATTTACACCAGGTAGGTAAAATGGAGGAAAGAGTTCTCCATTTTCTTGGATTCTCTTGGAATTTCATCCACTCTCTGGAACTTGGATATAGTAACTGGATATAGTCTAATTATAGTAAGGTAACATATGTAAAATCTGTATTTCCTATTTAAATAATTGGATTTTTTTTCCTTTTTCAAGATTATGAATTACTGACAGAAAATGATATGTTACCAAATATGAGAATTGGTGCTCTTGGATTTTCGGAAGCTTTTGAAGGACAGGACCCAACTTACTTTGAGGAGAGACACCTCAAATTCTTGCAGCAACTTGGCAAAGTAAGAAGCTCTGGGGTAGCTTATTGCAAAGATATGCCTTTATTTTTTAGAATTATACACTACTGTATGTGAATTGGAACATGTTAGGCATCCATAAGTCAGTATAATTCATATTGCATATATGTATTTTCTTGAATTTGGGGGCGTAATGGCTGAGCAGTTAAAGACACAGAGTTTTTAGCTGGAAAGCTGACAGCCTGAGGTTCAAGACCCAGGTTGTCGAGACTTTGGTGGGAAGGTAACAATGTTATGTGCGCTTCATCCTATAGTCATGCTGGCCACATGACCAGAAATGTCTTCAGACGAGGCTGGCTTCCTCCACTAAGAAATAGAGATGAACACTGCCCCTAGAGTCAGAGATAACTGGACAGGAGAAACTTTTATTTTACCTTTCATGAATATATTTTTTAAAAATGAATAGATTTGTATGCCACTGGTATTTTATGGCCTCCAGGCCATATTCAGTCCTTTGACTGTCCTTTTCCAGCCCACATGGATTGCTTTTATTTTGAAGGTAGCTGCTATTTATTTTTTCTTCAATTTACATATGCAGATGCATACATACCTGCATACGCACCTCCACACCCCTATTGGTTCAGCCCTTCCTAAGTGTCTCAGTTTCTCATGTGGCCCCTTGGGAAAAATGATTGCCCATCCTTGGGAGTGCATTTATCTTGGCCATAACCTATTATTTTCTTTTTTTTTGTTTGTTTATATAATTTGGTTTTCCTTCATTTGAATACCCTGTGAATTAATGCAAACTGGGACAACTATTTGTATTGAATTGCTGGTAGATCCAGTTAATGGCTGGAATATTGCATAGCACGTTATATATCAGCCTCAATCCTTGCATGAGGCTGAAAGAACAATTTGTAGTACCGGTAATCCTCAACCTAGGACCATAACTGAGCCCAGAATTATGGCTATGAGTTGTGATGGTTGTTGGGCATCATGTGAGCATTCCTGATTGTATGACCTTTTTTGCAATGGTTGTTACACGAACACCACAGTCATTAAGTGAATCTGTTGTTCTTCAATGGTTGTTGTTGTTTTTGCCAGAAACAGGAAGTAAACAGTGGAAACTAGCAAAAAAAATACCAAAAACTATGATCGTGTAATTGTGAGACACTGCAAATGGCCATAAATGAGAGCTGGTTGCCAAGTGCCCTAAATGCAAATCACATGACCATGGGAGATGGTGCAGCTGTTGGTACTCAGGAACTAGGTCATAAGTAGCCTTAGGGAGGTCTGTTGTAATGATCACTAAGTGAGGACTATCTGCTTTTCTGGCTGCTCTCTCCACACGCACACACACTTTTTTCAAAATGCTTCTATTTCTTTGTTTTGCAGGGTAATTTTGGAAGTGTGGAAATGTGTCGATACGATCCACTGCAGGATAATACAGGGGAGGTGGTAGCTGTGAAGAAACTGCAGCACAGCACGGAAGAATACCTGCGAGATTTTGAACGAGAAATTGAAATTCTCAAATCTCTGCAACATGACAACATTGTCAAGTACAAAGGAGTGTGCTATAGTGCAGGTACCCTGCACGTTTAATCGCATTATTCATTACCTACTTAAGCAACATGCTGATGACCTGGGATAATATTTGCCCTTAATGTATTGAAACATTTTTATGAACTGCTACTTTCTTTGTTTTTGTCTTAATATTTCTGGTTAATTTCTGCTGCACATAAAATTTGAGAAGCTTGTTTTTCCAGGTTAATTTTTTTGTTGGGTTGTTTTGTTATTGTTGCTGTTGCATGAAATAGATTTTGTTTAGCGATGGCTTTTAAATGATTGCAAAATTATTTCTTTGTAACTTTTAAAAATTCTCTCTTGTATATATTCATATTTGCTTTGAAGAGTATACTACCAGACCTAAAACCTGTTTTGCTTTAGTTTTAAATCTGCTGATTGATGCTAGAAGTAAAAAATGGTATTTCAAAACCAAACTAGATAATACTGGCCTCACTTTCATGTCTTAATAGTCATAGAAGCTACTGTGTATCAAACTGGTGAGCTTGAGCCCATCCACATGTTATTGGAAAATACTATTGCTCATATTAGTCAGGTTGTCTGAAGCTATTAGTATAGTTCAGCAATATGTAGGTGCTACGTGTTTCTCTGTATTCACTGCCTGAGAAAAGTATAATTTCATTTTAGATACTTGTTTCATTGAGGGCATGTGTGATGCTCACAGTACAATTTTTTTCTTGTTCATTGGCCAGGGAACACCAGAAGTTGCAGCTTTTATTTTCTCATATTTGTGTCCTGTTGTCAGTTCAGGATAAAACGTTACATTTCCTCCCACCCTCCCTTCCTCTTGTGTCCCATCCAATTCCCAATGACTCTGGGCAGCTCACACGTAAAAACATTTTAAAAAAGATACAATCAGTAGTAGAAATAAGGAATAAAAGATAGCAAGATGAAAGAAACTGACCAGATTTAAAAAAAAGAATGCAAAGGGGATTTACTTAGAGCAGGGGTGTCAAACTGGCAGCCCACGGGCCGGATGCGTCATGCATAGGCCATGCCCACCCCAGCTCCACAAATGTAGAAAACACCGCAAAATGTCATGTGAGGGTAACGTGATGTGGCGAATTTGATGCCCGTGACTTAGAGCCTTTAAAACACCAGCAGGATGGGGGTTATTTGATTCTTGGGGTCATTCTAGAGAACAGGCACCGCTACAGAGAAGTACATTTCCTGAGTCCCTATTGACTACATTATTTAATTGAAGAAACTGGAGCATGCCAAATCTGCTGGATTGAATTGTCAGGGCAAATACTCTGGAAGACAGGTGGTCCCTCAAGACTCCAGGTCTATGCCATGTAGAACTGTATAGGTACCAATCAGCACCTTGAATTGAATCTGGAATCAAACTGGCAACCTGTACAGGTTACAAAGCAGAGGTGTTAAATGGGCATACTGAGACATGCCCATCACTGCCCATGCTGCTGCATTTTGCACTAGTTGAAACCTGTAGGCGGTCTTCAAGGATGGTCTCACATAGGACACATTGCAGTAGACCAGCAGTGAAATGACCAGGGTATGAGTGACTGTCTGATCCAAGAAAGGACACAACTGGCCCAGCTGATGAAATTCCAAAGGTCTTCTTGGCCACAGTTGCTACCTACACAACAAGCCAGAGCTGTGAGTCCAGAAAGACCCTTCAGATTACCTAACACTCTTGAACATAGAAGTGCAATCCCATCGAAGATCAAATATAGAATATCATGAGATCTGGGTGATTCAGACACCCACTGCCACTTGGTTTTCATAGCATCTTCTTGTTGTTATCAATAACAATCTTAACAGCCTCCCTTGACTGGCTCCGGGTTGAAAGATGTATTTGGAACAATAAGCACATGGATATTATATTGCTGTTTTCTGTTTTGTTCGCATAGAGTAGTTGTATAGAGTTAGACTTTAAGTGCAATGTTTTGAAGCTTTAATATATATTAAGGATCATTCAGCATTGGTGTTTTGGATTACAACAAGCCTCTATCTGAAGGGGGGAAAATTATTGTGATTCTTCCAATCTTTTTTTAGAAACATGTTTGTTGGCCATTTTATTTTTCTTATATGTACCCATTTCATGTATTCATAACTATGTATATACTTATACCTATTATCTTATAAGCGATTGACAAATCAAAATAAATAAATAAAAATTAAAAAAATGTCAGAAGTAGTCTTATGCAGGAGAATTTCAGTGCTATATATGGAGAAATTCCTTTAAACTATAGTTCTAAATATTTATGTTTGTTTGGAAAGGTCGGAGAAATCTGAAGTTGATAATGGAATATTTACCCTATGGAAGTTTACGGGATTATCTCCAGAAACACAAGGACAGGTTGGATCATAAGAAACTCCTACAGTATGCTTCTCAGATATGTAAGGTAATAAATTTAACTAACCCTATTAAACCTGCTATGGGATTAAACTGAATTATAGTCTTCATTGTCCCAAAGGTACTTTTTCAAGAGGCAACTGGACTTTCTGGTTTTTCTTTGAAGACGTTTCACTTCTCATCCAAAAAGTTTCTTCAGCACAGAGTTGAAGGAAGCTTTTTGGATGAGAGGGGAAAGGTCTTCAAAGAAAAACCAGAAAGTCCAGTTGCCTCTTGAAAATGCGCTTTTGGGACAACCATGACCTGGATGATTGAGAATCTCCATATACAGTTTTCATTGTTCTCCATAAATGCTAGTCATGAAATATTCTTGTAGGGAAATGTTTTTTTTCCCTCATCAGTGACACAAAACCAATCCATTCCCTTTCTATAATCAATCTTTTTTTTTCATAACACAATCATGACTCCTCTTGCTTGTTTATTTTTATTTTTATTTTCTTTACATCTTGTTTCTTGACACATGCTAGTTTCTAATAGTGAAAAAGCAGTTGAGTGCATTAGTTTCCTTTTCATTTGATTGATGATTTGGGGAGGGAAGGCATTTCTGTAGCTGCCCGAGAATAGAGGTTATATTATATAATGTAATAATAGTGAAAGCTGTTTGTAATCTGATTATAGGTATAGAGTGGGATTGTTCTAGGCATCAACCAATTTTTTCCTGCCCTTGATAGTGATGCTTTCACTTCATTTGTTCCTGAAGTAGCTTTTTAATGCGGGTGGTCCTTAACTTGTGACAATTGAGCTCAAAAATTTCCATTGCTAAGGAAGCTGATAAGTGAGTTATGCCCCATTTTATGACCTTGTCACAGTTGTTTAGTGAATCACTGCAGTTGTTTAGTGAATTGTGCAGTCATTAAGCAACTCCAGCCTCCCCCCCCCCCCGACTTTGCTTTTCAGAAGCCAGCTGGGGAGGAGAGAAATTGTGATCACATGACCCCCAAGATGGCAATTTTCAATATATGACAGTTGCCAAGTGCCCTAATTTGGATCACATGACTATGAGGATGTCAGCAATGGTCATACATGTGAAAAACAGCCATAGAACACTTTTTTTCAGTGCCGTTGTAACTTAACATCCACTAATGGAATGGTTGTAAGTCACTTACTTTGATTGGGAGCCACCTACGGTTGGTTGAAAGATGGGCAGCTATCTCTTACACAAGTACACACAAACACAGAGGTGTTTTTTTTTTCCAGGAACTGTAAAGCCCATCCTCATTTAATTGTAGCAGTATTGCAGTCACAATTACATATAGGATCCAAACTCTTACTTGGATGGGTTTCCACCAAAAGATAACCTGGAACAGAAATAATTCTTTCTGCTCTTATCTGAATCACATAAATAATGCATACCAATATTTAATATCAGTTTCCTAATTGCCATAGAGGGTGAAGAATAGTAAAAGTCAGTTGTAAAGTCTTTATGTCAAGGCATGATGAAACAATTTTAAGAAGCAGTTCATCATTTCATCCTTCTGGCCTAACAAGACAAGAAAGTGACATCTAGTGGTAATTAGGAAGAAATGATGAGGTATCATCAGTTTCAGGAAACTTCCCCTTCAATATTGTCTTGAGAGGGTGCAAGATGATTTTTGACACTTTATAATGCCTTGTTTTTGACCAGCTTAATGGAATGTTATTGCAAAAAATGTGCAAAGTTCAGAAATAAGTTACGTGACTCATAAAGTCTTCCACCAAGACTTTGGTACTCATTAAACCAATTAATTTTGATTTTATCATTTCATCTATATATAGGGCATGGAGTATCTGGGTTCAAAAAGATATGTACATAGAGATCTGGCAACACGAAATATCTTGGTGGAGAATGAAAACAGAGTGAAAATTGGAGACTTTGGCTTGACAAAAGTTTTGCCACAGGATAAGGAATATTACAAAGTAAAGGAACCAGGAGAGAGTCCTATATTTTGGTATGTTTTCAATTGGTGATAGATTCTGAACTAGAAAGATACAATAGATAATTTCACAAGACTTCTGGCTTTTAACTACCATGGATTTCTCAATTAAAAAGCCACTTAAGCTGGTTATGCTCAAAGTAATGTTTGCATTTGCAATTTTCTGAGTCCTCTCATTTTATCCTGCAGGTGTTTTTATTTATTTATTTATTAAATTTATATGCCAGGTATGCTCTGGAATCCTTGACAGACAATAGGTTTTCTGTGGCCTCAGATATGTGGAGCTTTGGTGTGGTTTTGTATGAACTCTTCACTTATATAGACAAGAATAAAAGCCCTCCAGCGGTAAGTAATGTGTATATATGACGACATTTTTATATGTGGAAGTATAGTGTTGTGGTCATCTTCTTGACTTAAAAGAATTAGTTTCTTGCAGCATGCTCTATTGCCTTACATGTTTCTGTCACACCACCAAAAGTAGCTTGAATCAAATATAGTAATAACAGGAGACTCACTGAAGGATTACACCTGAAGCACATAATGCAAAAAATTTGTTTGAAGCACTTTTTCTCAGTTCTTCAGTTGAAATAATCTCTAAAACAGCTTGTCAGAAATGTGTTTTAGCTTGTGTTCAAAAGACAAATGCAGGGGAAAAAAGAATATGGGAATAAAGAAAGGAAACAATTGTGAAACACTTAAAATTATAACATGTATAAAATTACTAGATTGAATGGAAAAATGTCAACACAAGGAAGAACCAAATAGTTTATTTTTCAGTGTAACCAATGCAATCAGCCTGCTTTCTTTATCAGACACTTTGGCACCCGCTAGATACAATTATTGGTAGTCCTTGATTTACAACCATTTGCTTGGCAATCATTCAAAGTTACTGTCAAGGCTCCGACTAACAAACCCACCTTCTTAAAGGTCTTTATTGAGTAAATCATATCCACACAGCTTCAATGGAAAACCAAATCTAAATCTTTCCCGCGGTTTCAGTATAATTAACCTAGGAAATAACCCCATCCCCAAGTGTCACAGGTCACATTGGCCAAATGAGTTAATTGGTGGTCTCTTCAGGCACTCCTTTCCTAACCTTACTTGTTGCCAGTGAAGATGACCTTGGTTCTCATGAGAAACCTCTCTGTTGTGTCTAGTAAAGCATTCCAACTTCCTTCCCCTTCTCCCTTTGTGTGGCAACTGAGGAACACAAAAATGGCTGCTGCCAGGTTCAGTTCAAAGTTGACAGTTACAATGTCACTGAAAAAAATGACATGCGGCCAGTCTTACACTTAAAATTGTTACTGCATCTCCATAGCCATGTGATCAAAATTTGGGCACTTAGCAACCAGTATGAATTTATGACTGTTACAGCATCCTTGGGTTATGTGATTGCAACTTTCACCATCCCGAAGTTTATTGTTGCTTCATCTGTGTTGATTGCCCTGAAAATCCAAATGTATTTATTTTTTTTAAAATAATCCTAGAACACTATCATTATTGTTGCAACAATTCCGTTTCGGATTTTCATTTCAGGAGTTCATGCGCATGATTGGAAACGATAAGCAAAACCAGATGATTGTGTTCCATTTGATAGAGCTTTTGAAGAATAATGGGAGGCTGCCAAGACCTGATGGATGCCCTGATGAGGTATTGGGTTGTAACTTGCATATAACAAGAATGCCAGAATTGTTTCTGCAGTTAGTAGAGATGGTGTCATCAGAGAAAGATTGCTTGTATTTATTTGTCATAGGACTACAGATAGTCCTCAGATTACAGCAGCAATTGTGACCGAGGTTTCCCGTTATTAAATGATGCAGTCATGAAGTGCATTGTCACATGACCACATCACTTAGTGACTGCAATCCAGGTGATCTTGCTATTTGTTAAACTAGGACTGCATAAGTCATTAGGTAAGGACCTAATGATTGCAAAATGGCAAGAGGTGGGAATCCAGAAGCACTTCCTAACTTCACTGAACCACATCCCAGCAAAGCAGACCAATGGGCAAGAGCTACGGGCAGTGCTGTGGGCGGGCACCATAGAGTCTAAGATCCTTCTGCCACCCAGAGACTCCTTGGGAGCAAAAAGCAGTGGGAGCCAGCTTGCAAACTTTCCTGCTGGCTTCCCCATTGACTTTGCTTGTGGGAAGGCCGCAGGGGAGGGTCACAAATAATGAATGTGGGAAGCTGCAACAATTGTAATTGTGAGCTGGTTGCCAAGCACCTGAATCTCAGTCAGGTGACCATAGGGATGGCTGCTGCAACAGCTTCAAGGAATAGTCAAAAGCCCTCCTGTTTCGATGCCGTTGTAACTTCAAACAGCCACTGAACGAGGGGTTGCTAAGCGAAGACTACCTAATCAGCATCTACCCCTCAGTAGGCGTGTTCCAAAATCAAAAGTAATTTAATTTCTAATTAGCAGTTTCAATTAGAAAGAAAAGCAGCAGCTAAAAATGTAATAATAGTTGGTGAAATCAATGATCCCCTCTAGAATTGAGGCTGTTTTCAGTTTCCTAGCTGTTAGAGGTCCTCCTATATTACTGCCACCAGCTGCATTGAACAAGAGTCGTTCCTAAAATGAATTCAATAGATTTTGAATTCAGTGGATATTTATGTTTCTGTTGAAAATAGGAAATGATCTTAAGTGCATCCCCAAATTTACTTGAGGGATACAACCTCATGGCTAAATGGAGTGAGAATTTTTTTTCTCAGTTCTTTAGAATTATGATTACCAGCCCCATTGGCAATAGAAGAAATTTAATAGGCAAGATGGCGATGAAGAAATAGGGGGAATTCTCCTTCTATAAAATTATATATCCTGTAGACTAAACCAGTTCCTCAGTCTTGTTCTTGACTAATCAAGGAATTGTATGCCTACAAATTAGATGCATTTAGTATAAGATACTAAGAGAGGGAAGATTTTTATATGAGATAATATGTATAGTATACCAAAGTGTTCAGTGTCTTTGGTTCCAAGGTTATTAATAATCCAAGATAAATTAATTAGCCCCTTATGGTTCTTATTGGATTGTTATTATAGGTGTCATTGCTATTGTTATTAACTCATACTGATGTTTTTATCTTATTAAGGTTTATACCATCATGTCAGAGTGCTGGAATAATCATGCAAGTCAGCGGCCCTCTTTCAGAGATCTTGCTTTGAGAGTGGATGTCATAAGGGAAGGCCTGGGTGGATGAAAATACTGAACTTGATCCAAGGGGACATGAAAACGTGCAGAGCAAATGTACTTTGCTCCTTAAGCAGTTGCAGACTGTCGGCCTTCCCGTAGATCTCCTTCCTATCCTTGAAGGTGGAGACTTTGGGGAAATCGTCCCATCAGAACTTACAAACGGTGAAGATCTCTGCTTTAGCTTCTTCATGAGGAATGCTACCCCAATGCACCAATGGAAAGCACCTTGATAGAAAAAGGAGTTCCTTTTTAAAAAAAAGAGTAAAACAGCAGTCAGTATTGCCTAATACGGATTTGCAGTTCAAAATGTCAAGAAGAAAAGTCAAGGGAAGGTGGAGAGTTGGTCTACAGAATTTTTCTTTTCTGAGTTGAAGAAAACTTTAGGCTGCAATCTTATATCGTCTATTCCATGGGGTATATACCCTATTGATTTCTTGAGACTTATTCTAAGAAAACAGATAGAATTCTACTCTTAAAACAGTAGATTTCCTGCAGAATGTATACTATTCAGCTTCAGCACAACTGTTAAAAGAAAAGCACATTCCTAAAGGCATCACTTTGAAGAGGAACAAATGTTTGAATTGAAGTTTAGCAATGCCTACGGACGTCATATTCACACTGTGGTTCAATCACTTATATTGATTAGAAAAAAATGATTTCTAATCTCTTTTTTTTAGTTTCCATTTTAGTCCATTTTGTTTCCTAAAAGTAGATGAGATTAATTTGTTCATTTTCTTATTGTGTATTTCTTGTGTATGATTATGCAGTTCTTTTGAGAATATGCATTCAACATTAAAAGACATGGTAGAGAGCAAAGAACTCTCAAGATAAGAGAAAATATCACAACTGGTTCTTGGAGTTGCCTCTATATCATGGAAGATCCCCAGACTTTCAATGTGGAATCCAAAAAAGGAAACTTTTGCAGAATGCAGAAGACATCTCTATCCTGCCTGAATTCGTAAAGCAATTCTGAGTGCCTGTGGATTACATTCCAAAAAGCCCCCGGGAATTCCTGTTTGCCTTTTTTATAGGAAAGAAAATGGTTCCGCGTGCTTTTTCATGGCTTACACAAGGGCTTATATTTTTTTCTTTAATGCTAGTTTAGCTGGTTTTTACCATGTCGAGGTGTTATGGCTCCAGTGAAGAGGACAAATCAGAGGTTTAGTACTTGATTGAGCAACTATATGCTTGTCTGAGCCAGTGGCGAGTCGGCAAAAGAAGCAGATATGCCTGTTGAGACAGTATAATGCACTGTGTGTGTGTATATATATATATATATATATATATGTAGGTAAGGGAACAGATAAGTATTTTTTTAAAGAAAACTTGTTAAAATTGCCTTTTTAAATAAGCATATAGTCGTCTATTTTCCTACCTTTGTGGATTTTAAAGCTTAACTATGTCTCCTAAAGGTGCAAAGGAACCGTGGAACCGTATTGTAGCAGCCTAATCCTTGTTAGTCTTGTTATTTTCTTAACTTTTATAGGATGATTCATTCACCTGAAAAAGAAGAATGTCTCTGATGTTACCAGGATAATCATGGCGCATCTTTTCTTGGGTTATTGGATCATTTGGCTGTATGTGACTTCAGCCGTGTAATAGGAATTGGTTGCGATTACACTGCCTACATTGTGAAATAAGGGTTAGTCACTGCAGATTTATGCTTGTCAGTATCAGTGGCACAACTTAATGTTTGCAAAATAGTAAGCTGTTTCTGGCACTCTTGTGCTTTCAAACTCTATGTTAACTTAAGGATTGGCCAAAAAATTCAGAGGAAAGCAAGTGAATTGAATACCTTTTCCCATAGTTTGACCGCCAAGTCTTGCTTTTGAAATGTAAAGTTTATTTTAAGCGAATTTGAACTCAATTAAATTCCCAATATCAGATGAGTAAGTTTGATCAAAGAAGCAGTGGTTCTTTGCTACAGAAGCCAAATTAAAACTTGAAATGCATTTATAGCAAAATGCAGGGTAGGTGGCCATATTCTATAAGCCTCTATAGTCAGTTTACTTACCTACCTACCTCAAGCATAGAAGAAAGTACAGCAATGTGAATCTTGTATGGGATTAAATAAGTACCTCAAAATGCAGATGTCCAGCTTGTGAGTGCCAGTTTAAAATTGTTTGTGCCGCTATGAGCACTGGCATGTATATGTCAACCCCTTTATGAGAGAAGCCATTCCAGTATCTAATTTGCTCAGGTAAAACCTTAATTTTATTTTAAAGAGTAGGAAATTATGTTAAGCAACAAAGGGGCAGGGAGGTTGAAATTGTAAATAGTTACATTTTGTAAAACACCTGTTATCCTGTTATTGATGGCTGGGTTTTTTTCCCAATAGCATTTTAAGAGACAGTTTGACTGTATATTTTTAATGGCTTTGGGTGATATGTTGCACATTTGTACATGGATATAAAATTTATTGTACAGAAACTGCATTTTGGTTTTGTAGAATATTGTGGTAAATGCTTGATGGTGGGATTCCCCCGTTAACCAAATTATTGTAGCATCAGATTGAAAGTGACAAGAGGCATCAGGCTCAACATCAGTCTGTTTTTGAACTGCATTCAACTGATCAAGGATTTCATATTCCATACAAAGGAAGAAAACTCAGGGAATTTTGTGTAATGCAAAGAAAAGTTCTTCCATCATTATTTTTTTCAAGTGATTTTTTTTATCTAATAGAATTGAAATATTCTACTTTCCTGATATAAAGCATTTCAAATATTTAACAAATTTTTGAAGTGCTTTGTTTGAAACCTATTCAAATTTGAATTTCCATTGTTGCAGCCATATAAATGCTTGTACAAAGTAAAACTTTTGAGCTTAGACTTTTTAAATGAACATGATAGGATTGTGCTGTCAAAAATAAAGCATTGTCCAGATTTCTTTTTCATTTTATTTAATTCACTTTGGCTCTGTTTAAATGGAAATTCAAGCAGATTCTCTTCTTTTGGCACAAATATTTCCACATATTCAAGGAAGTTTCTGGGTACAGTCTTTCAGGCTGGATTGGAGATGACTTCCGATTCAATATTTTAAAAGACACGAGGCTTTCAAGAGAGGAGGGTTCTCAAAAAATTGTCTTTACTGAGCTCTTGCACCTGTCTGGCTCCTGTCCTTTTGCATGAGATCTTTGATTTCATTTGTGCTTTCAGATTAATATTGGCTGTTCACATAATTCAAAAACTATAATAACCAGTCAGTCAAATAAAAAAAATCTGTAATTCTGTGATAACAGTTTTGTACATATCATTTAAACATTACATTATTATACCATTTGTGTATCAATGGTGTTCTCAGTTATTTTCCTATTCCACTGTAAGAAGAGAACTGTGTTAGTCTATGATAGCCAAAAATTAGGAGGAATCCAGTACCACCTTTCAGATTACCAGATTTTATTTAAAAGTTTGGCTTCTTTGAGCTACAGCTCACTCCATGCTTCGGATGAAGTGAGCTGTAGCCTACAAAAGCAAACGTGTTTTAATAAAGTGTGTTAATATAAAAGGGTACTACAAATCTTCTGTTTTTTCCCCTTTCCCAGAGCGCTATTCACTTTATCATAATGGTTTACCATGATACCAATAATTGCTGTGACTTGCTTTAGGAAAAAAAAATGCTGCACAGATAAGACTGCTCCATTGAGTAAAGTGATAATACAGCTACTGCTTTTTAGAACTTTTTTTAATCTATACTATTTTATATAAATAGATTGCATTTTGTAAAATACTTCTATATTTTTATTTGCTAATTGGTCTGTGGTCCAGTATGATAGAATTCAGAATAATTCGCTTTAAATGTTTACTAAGAGAGTATTAAATATTTTTCAAAATTGTACATTTCCTTTTATTTTTCCACATTTTGACTCCTTTCCTTCACTTGCAAAACTAAAGCTGTTTCACTGCTGAAATGAAAGATGATGATCCAGATCTTTTTTTTGCTATGAAAGAGTGTAGCCCTATCCAGAGTGTAGTCCTATTCTTTATAGAAGAATGAACCAATCATAAAAGTATGTACAAATGGACATTCTTTGAAGTGCAAAGAAATGGCAGATTTCAACAATGTATATCCTGCTTCTCATTTGCAGAATCTAGCCTCTCAATAGTATGTTGGGCTGAAGATTTTGACCTGTTCTTTCGGCATGATTTTAAAGGTCAAAATACCGGTAATCCTAGACTTACAACTAGTCATTTAACAACCATTTGAAATTACAATGTCCTTGGAAAAGATACTTTATGGCCCATAAGGCACTTCCGGCTGTAAAGCATTTCCACATCCTCCAAGTCTCATGATTGCAAACTGGGTCATTGGCAATTCACACTTCACACTTAATGGCTGGTTGCCACCAAACCACATGATCATGTGATCGTCATTTACAATCTCTGCTGGCTTCCCCAGAAAGTCAGTGGGGAAGCCAGCAGGAAAGGATGCAAGCTGCCGCCTCCTCCTGAGAGCATTCCGTCTCATCTCTGAGAACTGTGTCAAAAAACTGCTAACCATGAGAGTTGAGATTCCCCCCAGCAGGACAGCTCGTTTGAGAGTGAAAGGGCTGCGTGGTTTCTGACATTTCCAGCCCCAGGAAGGGTTTCCCCTCCATCCTTTGGGGGTGTGGGTGTGGGAGTTTAAATCCTTCATTGGGTATCAGGAGCATTAAAATCCATTCTTGCAATTCGACAAAGGATTTCCTACCAGTCGATGGAATGGTGAGCTGCAGGAACAGACCTAGCATCCTGAAGATGTTGGCTTCATTTCTGCAGCCCAATTATGTATTCCCCCCTCCCCCTGTGGACACTTCTCAGAGCTTCCCAGTGCACCTTGCATTCCTTACCTGGAACTCCTGTTAACATCCCTGGAGATTACCTAACAACTACAACTGGGGATGCAAGGATTGCAATTGCTTAGTGAATAAGTCCCTTAATCACTTGGCTCAATGACAGATTCCAATCTCAACTGCAGTCGTAAGTTGAGGACTAGCAGTAAATTTATGATTTGCAGAGGCTTAAGCACCCATATTACTAATTAATCCCTATCCTATTTAATGTAAACACTACATGCGCAGGATTTGCACGTCAAGGATTTATGAAAGGAAAGGTTGAACACTGCATGTCTACATTTGGAAAACAGTTTTACTGTTACAAATGCTTTGTGTGGCTAGAGTACGAACAATACCAGATTTAGCAAATAAATAGAATTTATCTAATTCCAGTGCCTGAGCCAGAGAACTAAAGAGCCCAGAGCCCAAGCAAAGCACACAAACCATCCATCAAAAGTGTGGTCAAACATACTGCTAATTTGTTAATAGATGCCTTTTCACAGGTGCTTAAGCCCTTCTGACACTTTCTGAACCAAACATGCTCCCCAGGTGCTATAGTGTTTCTCAACCGTGGCAGTTTTAAGAAGTACCTCTCAATCTGTCTGAGAAACGCCACCATAGGCGGTTGCAAAGAAGCAGGAAAAGGAAAGGAAAGCAATTCAGGGAGCCCAGTGAGTCCATTGACAGCTTATCTCGTACCTGGAAGTTGGGCCTAGTTGAAGAAAAATCTGGGATGAATATCCCAGGTCATTCAAAGACTGGCTAACTCAGTATAAGTTAGACTTCAAAACTCTTAGTCCAGTTTCCAAGATTCTATAGTATAACAGTAAAAATATCTTCCTGAACTTTGTGTTATGCTTGCTTCCTTGATCTCGCCCAGCTACGTTGGGGTTGACGGATCCCATCATTGACTTCTTGTGCCAGCTGCCTGTAGTGATTCCAAATGGTACAGTTCATATAATAATACATATTTTATTCAATCCCAGGGGCTTTAATTTACAGGGTATCATAATGTTCTATTCCACCATTAATGTTACTCTAGCTGTAACTTTTATCGGCAGTGATTTCATCTGCTCACTTGCCTTCGTCTTTGATCACCACTAAATTGGAGTACTGTGCTTGAGATGTAATTACCTCTGAAGGTGATCCAAACACTGCACTGAGTAATGTTCCTTTTCTAGATGCTTGTAGTGTCACAATATCTGAATGCAGGAGTTCAGATTTGTTTTTTTCCATCGTTTATCAGTGTTTCCGAATACAATTCAAATGTCATTCTTACACTTTACAGCTCATGTTTCTTCAGAACCAGATTATACAGGGGATGGCTGGCTGTCCATATGCTGACATCTAAAGGAGTTTCTTGAATGTCCATGATTAAACTCCCTATGTTTTTGGAACACCTGCCAAACATCTGTGGGGTCCATGGCAGCCTCTGAGCTTGGTTTACTGAAAACAGTAACTTATGGCCATGTTTCATACTTACAATCATTGCAGCATTCCCATGGTCACATAATTAAAATCCAGATTTTTGGCAACTCCTAATGATGAGAGTTACAGTGTCCCAGGATCAGGTGATCACCTTTTGCTACCTTCTGACAGTCTATGAGTGTCATGCCCGTCTGAATCCGAGCAGGAAAACGAACAACTGACAGGGAGTGGAGTGTGCCTCTGTTGGCTGTAGAGGAAACTGGGAAAGGGCAAAGTCCAGCTGGGCAGAGCAGGAGAAAGGTAGAACAAGGAAGACGGAGTTCAGAGGAACACCCAGGCCCACCCTCTCTTCATCCTGCATTCAGGAAGGAACAGAGAAGACAGCAACGTGGGTTGCATGGCTTACGGGGGAGGAAAGGGCCCTGATTCCCTTCATTAGGTACACCTGGGAAGAGTTTAAAAGAGATGCAAGCGGAGTGCGGCATCTGTTGGGAACATGTGAGTTTATCTTGTGTTGATTGTGGTTATCTTGTGTTCCTGGAATCCTCCCAACCAGGTTGATTTGCTGTTGTTCCTTCATGTCTGGAATTCCTTCTCTTGCCCTGCTGTATTAATCACCTCATCTTGCCTTGATTGGACTTATAAAGTTTTTTGACCACGTTTTGGACTTGAATCTCTGCAGCCAAAGGCTTCTCCTGGGATTTTTTCTCCAGCCCAGAAGGAACCAGGACATTGGGGGGCAAAGTTGGAGCTAATAAAGGGACTCTTACTTATTATTTGACTGTATTGCCTTTGTGCCACACCCTGGGTCATCACAATGGGGAAGCCAGACTCACTTAACAACTCTGCTACTAATTGCAGTGATTCACTTAACAACTGTGGCAAGAAAGGTTATAAAATGGGACCAAATTCACTTAACAATATCTCACTTAGAGAAATGTTGGCCTCAATTGTGGTCATAATTGAGAACTACCTGTATTGTATGTACTCAGAATTCATAGAAACTTTGAGTGACTTACTTTATCAGGATAGCTAATACGTATTAATGGTTTACCACAACTCAGTGAATGTTGCATGATGGATAGGTTAGGGAAAATAAATAATCCAAATAATTGTATGGCTTATAAGAAATCCAATATACAAGGACATTTCTATGTGGATATTGTACCTAGAAAGAAAATGAATAAATCATCACTAACCATGAGGAATTTAATTATTCAGATCCTATCCAAATATTACATAGATATAAATGAAAATCAATGCACCACTAAGCCCTAAAGCTTCAGACAGAGAGCCAAGGTATATATCATGTCCTCGGGATCAAACAAGGCACAACACACTTTGACAAAAATGATGGAAAATGGTAATCTGTCCCCTAATAGCCAGGCCTGCTGCTGCTGACTGCAAATGACAGTGATTCCTCGTGGCTTACCACAAATAATAAAAACTGGAAACTACCTGTGGAAGCAAAGACACCCCAGATAATCTCCCAGTCTACTGCTACAAATACAAGTAGTGCCCACTTGTTTAACAACCATTTTGTTACAATGGACTTTTTTTTTAAAAAAAAAAGTCCATTTACAACCCATCTTCAGAGCTACAAGTGTTTCACACACACATTTGGTTGTGATTCCATGCTCATGGATCAAAATGCCTAACAGTTCAATTAATTGTTCTTGAAGTGTGTTTTTTTAAAAGAGAACAATGTACTGATGTAAAAAAAAAACCTTCAGATGAAAAGGGTTGTTGCTTTTTTCAGATGAAAAGGTCTATGTTCCAAATCAACTCATCAGGGCAATAGAAACCACTCCGTTCTTTTTCTGAATTACTGTTTGTCCTGCGCCCTGGAAAGTGTGTAAAGAAAACTTAAAACACCACTTTAGAAAGCAGCTGCACCCTTCTATGAAAATATTGCACAAAAACTTGACTGTGTGCACAAGGACTATGCAGGTTGTCGGTAGGATTTCTTTTCAGTAATAGTGTCTTTACTCTGTTCCCTTCTCTGCCATTACTATGTATTTCACGATCTATTATGATGGATACCCACAAAGGGTATTGAAGTCAGCCTACAGAAAAGGATGAGATAATACAAAGAATAAAAACATAATAGTTTAAAAATAATAAAAAAAAATAGTAGAATTCATATTGTATTACATGGTTTTATTTAATAAAGCAGGCGACATACAGGCAATTCTTTTTTAAAAAGTTTCACTTTATTTGGTCAGCTTATACAATTTGCTTCAATGATCACCAGTAGAAACTGTCTGTTCCTGCTCCTAATTAAAATAGATAAAAATATGCCTCTCTTTGGGATGGAAAACGATCTGGTTTTAGCACCCTTCTATATTCCTTTTCTGATGGACAAGATGACCTTTTCAAGTTTCAGAAAAGGCCCCACATACCACGCTTGTATCAGAGTTTTAAGTCAGCAATGCGATTATAAACATACCTATTTTATTTCTCAATAAAAATTTTGCTTTGTGCTCTTCTGGCTTTTTCAAGATCATCAAAAGTGATAGGTCCTTTTGGCATTTCTAGTGCAGCATAGTCTGTGTCAATTATGTTCTCAGCTTCACCTGAAGAAACAGATGGAATTCATGTATATATTGCATCAGTTTGGTAAGAGATAATAACTAACTTTCTATAAGGAATTTACAGGACTTACATTTCATTCTTTGTAGTAAAGTTCCATACCCCTTATCATACTGAAATGCAAGTATAAAGCTCAGAGGTATAACTGGAATAAAGAGTTGAGGTTTCTTATTTTTTATTGCTCTGTATTGAAAAAAAAATTATATATTAGATAACTAGGCAATAAAAAGTAATATCAATATCCAGATAAAATGCTTTAAATGCAAAATATTAAGATTACTTAATGCTGAAATTAAACATGTTTTGCAGCAATAAAGCTCTGTAACTTTTAGTTCATATTTTCATTTGATATAATTGTGCAAATAACATGAATAACCAAATCTCACACATATTCAGTTCTTTTAATGTGCTATTAATATAGTTTTGCTAGCAATTATGCGAACAGTTACGTATATTTTGTTGTGCCAACTGTAAATCCCACATTTGATTAATTGATTATTGTAAGGGCTTTTTCAGTTCACCAGATTATATCAGAACAATGTCCCACTGTTTTACTCATTTACTGTAAATCTGTTTCTGGCCATGTTAACTGAAGATAATTATGATAAATATTTGTTCTAATATTATGTGTTCCACACCAAAATGCAAGATACTTCTTGGTAAGAAAATTCTCTTCCCATTCCAGTGGTTTACACTAAGCCAGGGGTGTCCAACCTTGGCAACTTTAAGACTTGTGGACTTCAACTCCCAGAGTTCATCAGCCAGCAAAGCTGGCTGAGAAACTCTGGGAGTTGAAGTCCACAAGTCTTAAAGTTGCCAAGGTTGGACACCCCTGCTCTAAGCAAAGAACCTTATTAGCCCATACTGCTTGATATACCAGAGTGATATAGAGATTAAGATGCTAGCCTAAGAATGCAGATAGTCAACTTCAAGTCCATCCTCAGCTATAGCAGCTCCCTTGGTGAATTTGGACCAGTCATTCAGACCAAACTATCTCAAAGGGCAAAATTGAAGGCTGGAGTGCTATGTACAGTGCTTTCAACTCCTGAAGGAAAGGTGGGATATAAACCTAACAAATGCAAATAAAAAGCAAATGAAAAATGGTTAAAGCAATCAGGAAGCGTTGTTTTAATGTATCATAGAGCAAACATGGTGTAGTGGTTAAAGCAGCAGCTAAAAGCTGAGAGACTGCGAATTCTAGTCCTGCCTTAGGCACAAAGCTAGTTCAGTGATTTTGGATAGTTGCTCTCTCAATCCTAAGAAGAAGGCAATGGCAAACCATGTCCAAAATCCTGCAGGAGCTAGTTGTCAGAAGTTAACTAAAAAAAGACAGATCAGGAGCCTTCGTTTATCCCCCTCTTCATAGACCAATATTGCTAAACTAGGAATAGAACTAGGTTGGCTCCAATTGAAATCGCAATTGCAGATATAAATCAAAAATTTCAATTCAGGCATAATATTAATCCAATGCAGGTTGCTTAGTTGGTTGCTCAGGAGAAACCAAGCTGGAGTGACAGTTTGCATGCATACTCTGCCATAATACACTATAAACCAGTATTGTGAAGGACTCTTCCTTATGTAATACATTTGTTATTTGAAAGAAATGGGAGATAATCACTCATGTGATTGTAATCCTTAAATACAGCATGTATAGCTGGTCGGTGCCTGGACCAAAGTACCCTTTTCATTTCATGTACACCTCTAGACTGGAATATACAATCAGCTATATTTATTTATTAGTTAATTTTTTTATTTTAAACGTATCCTTTAAAAACTGAAAGAATGCAACAGTAAAAACAATAAAATCTATCTCTCATTTGCTATTTAAGAGGGGGGAAATAACTGCATACCCAATTGTTAGGCCCACAGTTGTAAGGCCATAAAATGATCCAAAATATTTGAGAAACTCCCTTGTGCCCGCAATCTGCATGGCCATCTGTCTCTCGCGCATTTGATTTTGCATCAGAAGTTGCCTTTCTAGCTGAATGCAAAAAAAGAAAAAAGGTTTTACTTACACATTTCAGTAATAAAAACAATGTTTTCAGCCTTTATATATTTGGTACCTATTTTCATAATTTCAGGATAAAGAATTATCTTAAACTACTTGCTGGGTTATAAATATCATGCACCTGTTCAAATTACTGCATAAATACTTGTCTCTTACATATTTTAGATGACTTAAAAATAAGGCTCTCCCATCAGCTTCAGACAAAAGAGTTAGGAAAATTGTGCCAAGCTCTCAATATTATGACAACTTCTACTTGTCAGAATGCAACATTTTTATTTAAAAATATTTACAGAACTATCTGCAAATTTGATGATACTTGATATAGTGAAAGGTATGTTTAGTATAGCCCTTAAAACCAGACTCGATTCTTTATATAGTCATGGATTCACCATGTGTTATTGGTTATTTCTTAAGTTATGAATCAATAAATAAAAGTAAAAACTTATAGTGGCAATCAAATTTATTACAATGTTCTTAATTTTTTAACAGTTAGTCAGCTTCTAGATTTTATGAACAGAAAATCTAATATTATTTCCTCAGAAAACTTTTAAGTATCACATCATTCTGATGATTTATTTTTATGGACTTTTCCACTTATATCTTTACATAAAGATATAGCTTTCCCTCATTGTGATGTCCTGAAAAATATTGAGGGATATCGAAACTGGAATACTGAAATTGGCTTGTTGCCAATTTATTTTTGCCACTTTCAATCACCCCCATCTCTAGGTAAGAGGTGGTTCTTCAGCAGCTCTTCCTTGTTTGGCTTTGGAGAAGTTAGATCAAGGGTTTTCAAATTTGCAACTTTAAGACTTGTGGACTTCAACTCCCAGAATTCTCCAGCCAGCTTTGCAAGAAAAATGAGCCTTTCCCATCAGCTTTTGGAAATAAATCACAGCTTTTTTAGATATAGTGCTATTCTGGCTGGAGAATTCTGGGAGTTGAAGTCCACAAGTCTTAAAGTTGCCAAATTTGGGGTCCCCTGCGTTAGATGGTTGCACAGCATGGCAAAATTTGTCTACATCACAGGTGTCAAACTTGCCATCAAGGAAAAGAAAACTTCACAGAGCTGGGATGGGCGTGGACACCTCATTTTATCTTTTATTTTTCTATTACTGTATTTTAAAGACTTGGCCTATCTCTAAAAAGAAATCTTTTTTTTTTTCAAATGGAAGAGAGAACAGGATCATGCAGCATTCCTAAAATCTTCCCATTGTTACACACTTCTATAATGCAAAAACCCACCTGAAGTCGAGAATTTATAAGCATGAATTCCTTCTGATTCTTTAGGCTTTCATTGACAGACTTTGAAAAGATGAATCCCATTTTGATCTAAAAGGAGAGAAGAAGGCATTGCAACCCTAGTTCACAATCTCCCAAACATTTGACACCTAAAAATGCTCTCTCTCTCTCTCTCTCCCGCCCTCCCTCTCTTTTGAAGAAACCAGAGTGTGTGGCTGGATAGTTTTGCTGTGCCTTTAACTATGGTTGCCAACAATAGGCTGAATTTCTTATGAGGGCTATCAGATCCGGGCTGCCAAAAATCCCAGGTCAAAGAATACAAAGGAACCATCCAACCTACCGAAAACTATCCAATTGGTTTTGCTATCTTAGTGGCTGTGGAGGCGTCGGCAGCCCAGCTACGGTAACTCCCTATTTCCTACATCGTAAAAAAATCACAACCCGTCGTTTACGAACCACACTCGCCGAGAGAGGTGAATAGGGGGTGAGGGAGGGTTCCTTGGTCGAGAGAGGATCAGCCTGGGCGCTGCGATTCGCAAGTCGGACACTCCAAACTCACGCGGGTTACGCACGCGCCGCCCAGGCCGAGCGCGTGACGAGGATCCCAAGCCTTCTGGAGGGCCGGCCGGGAGTATGATGGGAGTTGTAGTCGCAGAGTCTATCCCGAGGCCCAGTCCGTGCCAACCACCGCGGCGCAAGACGCCACTGGCTGCTCTGCCAAGCCCCGACCGTGCACAAAAGCAGCGAAGAGAGACCAGGCTTCCCAACTCCTCTCTTTTCCTTCTTGGCCTTTCCTTAGCTCCGGGAGTGTCCAAAGTTGCCAAGGTTGGACACCTTGCCTTAAGTCTATCGAAACTTTCCCAATGTTTTACCTTTTTCAGCAGGTGACCTTCGTTCCCTCACAGCCTAGTAGTAGTTGCTCTAGGTGCAAAACACTTCCGGGAACAAGTCGTGCCCAGCTTGGCACGACGAACAGATTGCCCGGAGTTGGTGTGGGCGTTCAAAAGAGCGAAGGCATTACAAGCAGTTGGGAAAAATCGCCAGCGAGGCAGGGAGGGCGGGTGTGTGTGGGGTCTGTGAAATTCCAGCTCAGAGAAGGATCCTTTGCCACGGCATGCACTTTTCAACAACAACTAACCAGTTGCAACTTAACGGGGAAGTGGGCGGGGGGGGGGGAATCACCCGTCTCGGGGAGAGTCAATTGAGGCCGCCTCATTTGGCCTTGGATTGGACTATGATTCGTGTATGATTCATGCCAGCATCTGTTGGCTCCGTAGCCGGCTGGGTGGTGATCAGATGATAAAATTGCATTTTTCTACACACCCTTTCTAAAAAAAGAAAAAGAAAAAGAAGAAAAGAAAAAACTCAGTGGTATACCCAACTCTGCAATGCCAGTCCCTTCTGGGATGCCTTTGGTGGGGCAGGGGTCTCCAAACTTGGCAACTTTTAAGATTTCTGGACTTTTGTTGGAAGAATTATCCTTCTGGGTTCAGTTCCAAGTGGGGGGGAAAGACACTGGAAACATGGAGGCTATTTGGAAAGATGGTTTAATGGAAGACAGGACCACATGGCTTGAAGCTCCAAAGTGAAAAGGATGACCACATACTTCAAGGTGAGAAGAGAAGGTCAAGAAGGGCTGAGATGCTGAGAGTGCCTGGGTTTTTATAACCTTTGTTGGGATTTGAATTGGAGCTTGTATTCTGATTGGATGTCAGACTCTCATGGGGCCATGCAGGGGCAACTCTGTAGGCTGTCCTGAGTTCCAGGCTTGGTTGAGCTTTGCTGGATAATGATGCACTGAAAGGGCTTTGGGCAATTGCTATAGTTTTATCTGGAGATCTTTGTTATGTAAAGTATTCTGGCCCAGGCCTTAATGGCCCACCCATTAACAAAGGTGGGGGTGAGCTTCTGGTTCTGAGGTGAGCTTCTGCTTCTGAGTTTCTACTCTTTTTAGGAGAAATATTCTGCCTTTTTAATATTTCCTAGGATATATCAATTTTCTAGGAGAGGGGTGGGTGCTAACTTCCTACACTTCAACTCCCATAATTCCTCAGCTAATCATGCTGGCTGGGCAATTCTGGGAGTTGAAGTCCACAAAAGCCTTAAAGTTGCCAAGTTTGGAGACTGCTGCTCTTGAGTGTAGCCACGATCGAGGCAGTAAAACCAGATTTAGAAAAGCAGATGATGCTTCTCTGCAGCTAAATAGGCTGAATGCCGATAGGGGCTTCATAGCTCAGAATTGGAAAATTAAGCAAAAGTTGCAAACTTAAAACAGGCACAAACACTGCGCTCAGGTTTGACTTCACAGGGTTGTTGCTGTGGAGAAAACAGGAGGGAGAAAGGCGTGTTGCCTTAAGGTCTGTAGAGATCCTCAGTCATCCAAGTCATGGTTGTCCCAAAAGTGCTTTTTCAGGAGGCTAACTGGACTTTTCTTGTTTTTTCTTTGAAGGAATATAAATCCTCCCATTCCCCACTATCCTGTCAGAGCTGAAGAAGCTTCTTGGATGAGAAGTGAAACGTCTTCAAAGAAAAAACAAGGAAGTCCAGTTGCCTCTTGAATTCCTTGCCTTAAGTTATTTATACAAATAATAAAGGCGGGACATAAATAAATCAAGTTTTAAACTGCTTAAAAAGGCCAGGGAGAGAATCCTCCCTTCAGCAGCTTCACACAGAAGGGTTAAAAACAAAAAAACAAATTAAGACCCGGCGACGCCCTTACGGTCGAAGCCCCGCCCTCTTTCAACGGGCTGGAAGAGAAACCCCCGGCGATAAAGCCGACCAGTGAGCTGAGGGAAAGTATCGAGGGCACTTTCGGCCACAGCCAGGCTTGTAGCAAGAGGAGGAAGCAGTTCTCCAGATAAAAATATGTGAAAGACTTTTCTGTCTCCTCACTTGGCCCCATAATTTTTTTTAACTGAAATGGCAGCCAAACTCTTAACAGAACAGGAAGGGCGCTTGTCTTGGAGGTCTTCTAATCCAGCCCCCTGCCAAGCTGGAGACCCTGTACCATTCCCAGACAAGTGGCTGACCCTTGCCTTCTTGGAAGTCTTCAGTGATGGAGCACCCACAATTTCCAAAGGCAAGCTGTTCTACTGGTTAATTGTTCTCACTGTTAGGAAATTTCTCCTTAGTTCTAGATTAGTTCTCTCTTTGATTAGTTTCCATCCATGTTTTCTTGCCTTGCCTTCTGGTGCTTTTGAAAATAGGTTGATCCCCTCTTTGTGGCAGCCCCTCAAATATTGGAACACTGCTCTCCTAGTTCTTTTCACCACATACCCAATTCCTGCAACCTTCTTCATATGTTTTAGCCTCTAGGCACCTAAACATCTTTTCTGCACTCTTTCCAGAGTCTCAACATCTTTTTTTATAATACGGTGACCAAAACTGGATGCAGTATTCTAAGTGTGGTCTTGCTAAAGCTTTATAAAGCAGTACTAATGCTTCACGTGATCTTGATTTTATCCCTTTGTTAACGCAATCTAGGATTGGATTGGCTGTTTTGGTTACTGCCAAAATAATACTGCTGGCTCAGATTTAAATTATTGTCTGATAGGACTCTCTGATCCCTCTCACAGATACTGCTGTTGAACCAGGTTTTACCTAATCTGTACCTGTGCATTTGTTTTTGTTTTTTCTTGACTAAGTATAAAACCTTACTTTTTTTCTGCATCTCATTTCATTTTGCTGGATAGGGCCCAGTGTTCAAGTCTGTTGAGATTCCATCTGGATCTTGAGTAGATGTTGCTTCTGGGGTATTACTATCCCTGCCAGTTTAGTGTCACCTACAAATTTGACTTTCCCGTCTATTCCCTCGTTTAAATCATTTATGAAGATACTGAAGAGTACGTGGCCTGAAATGGAAACTTGGGGGTACCCTACAGCTTACTTCCCTCCGTGTAGATGTAGTTCTATTAAGAACTACACATTGAATGCAGTTTGTCAGCCATTTACAAATCCATTTGGTGGTGATATAGACAGTAAATGGCTGACAATATGTTGACAACATATCCCATATGTTGTTTAGCTAACCAAGGAGTAGGTTGTGGTCTACTTTGTCAAAAGCCTTACTGAAATCTACTATGTCCACTGCATTTTGCTGGGCCACTAAATTGTCACTTTGCCAAAGAATGGTATAAGATTTGTTCAGCAGGATCTGTTTTTGACAAACCCATGTTAGCTTCTGGTTACACCTTTGCTTGCTTCTAGGTGTTAGCAGATCTGTCTACTTAAAGTTTGGGCTGAGAATTATGATGGGACCAGTGAGGTTAGACTGGACTGTGTACAAATATACATTAAAACATACGTACATATTTATGTATATGTATGTAGGAATAAAATAATGTCAGTTCATGATTTAAAAGGTCGGGGAGGGGTTTCAGAGCCCCAAGCAAGATGGCAGAGCCGAGTCTTTAAACATTTACAACAACTGGGGGAGTGGGGTTGTGGTGGTGGTACGATTGTTCTTCAGGGTGGGGGCAATGGCAGAGAAGGCTCTTTTTCTGCCAGTCAGAATTATTTGGCTAATGGGGTCTACAGCATACCAGAGGTTCTGACCAGTTCTGGAGAACCAGTAGCGAAATTTTGAGTAGTTCGGAGAACCGGCAAATACCACCTCTGACTGGAGATTTTACAGTATCCTTCCCTTGCTAACGCCCACCAAGCTAGACCCACAGAACTGGTAGTAAAAAAAATTTGAATCCCACCACAGCAGCATACATTCCCCGCCTGGCATGGGCCAGTGTAATGGGGTGAAGATCATTCCTCAGGTAGTCTGGCCCTTACCATGGAAGGTTTTAAAGGTCATAACCAACATCTTGAATTGGACCTGGAAGCAAACTAGCACCAATGAGTTCACAGAGGAGAGGTGTTACATGCACCCAAGATTGCTAGCCTGGCTGCATTCTGTACTAGCAGAAGCATCCAGATTCTTTTCTAGTGAAGTCCCATGTAGAACGCATTGCAGTAGTCCAGACAGAAGATGACCAGGACCTGAGTGACCAAGCAAAGGGCCTCTCTGTCCAGTTTGGCTGGCTGTGTTTTACAATTGACTGGCTCTATTTTTGCCAATTCAAATTGCAGGCCCCAAAAAAGAACCTTATCCCCCGGATTGGAGGACAACAGTTTTTCTGATTGAAAGAGCAAATGATTCAAGAAAGACCCATATATATATTGCATCTATTATAACATAACATAAAAACTGAGATCTGATTCTCACAATTTTGGATAATTCAGACAACATTGACATCTAAGTAAAAACCTCGCTGATGTCATTTAATTTGGCCCACATTCAACATTTATTACTATATCTAATTTCATTTAAGTTTGTGCCTGGGAGTCCAAAGGTGTACATAGACTGCAATGTTTCCCTCTACAGATTGTTACATAAACTGTGACATTATGTCAAAGCAGAAAGCCCAAGGAAACTATCACTGATAAGGAGGAAGACAAGGAGAGGAAAAACAGCTCTGCCCACTGTTTGTCTTGTCTCTATTGATTAGCAGCCCCTCACAGATTATTATTTGAAGGTAGGACAAGAAGACCCCCAAGCATCTTTTTAATCCTATTATTTTATGTAAATATAATGTGTGCAAGACAACTTTGTTTGGCCTTTGTGAGATGCTTTACATCTATTGCACACCAGGTGGTGCGATTGCTTTTCTAGAGTCCAGCACTCTGCACCTATTAGGGTAGCTGAAGTTTGCATATAGTTACGGTTAGATGCACTGTCAGCTTGGCAATGCCTCAGCTAAATATTCTGCCTTTGCTCATATATTCATATTTCCTCTCTTAGTCATTACACTAAAGTACAGGGTAGCACCACCAGCATTGTGTGAAACTATCAAGTAGATCAGTGCATTGTGAAAATTATCCATCTTTGACCAACTTTAGTGGACCAGCAACTTAGGTAACCAGCAAACATCCCAATTTGATTCAAGAATTTTAGTTCAAGAACTTTATTTAATGCAAAATAAAGTATGACTGCTCCCCATTTAAAAAGAATTAAAATTAATGGTGGCACAGTGGTTAGAGTGCAGTATTGCAGGTTTATTCTGCCCACAGCCTGGAGTTTGATCCCGACAGGCTCATGGTTGACTCAGCCTTCCATCCTTCCGTGGTCAGTAAAATGAGAACCCAGATTGATGGGTACAATAAACT